AATATAATTGAAAAATGGGTCAAAAATTCAAAGTTAATGAAGGTGTTCTTGTATTACTAGAGGGTGTTTATGTAATGATTGCTTATATGAAGGCGTTGTCGGAGATACATACCTACCCATGGTTGTACATAAATATATATATATATATGTGGGGTGGTCGGCTGACCGACTGCTACTAGTATTGTTGCACAATGTATAGTCCTATATTAGGGACTTATGATAGTAATGTCTATGATACAAAAGCATTAATTCAGAAGGTGCCTGACGCATAAGCATTATGATAGCAGAGTTACGACTTGAAGTCCCATATTTAAAAGACATATAATAGTAAGGTTTATGAAATAAAGCAAATATGTGGAAGGTCACAAATATGTAATAGCATTATATTGAAAGAAACGGGACTTGAAAATTATTATTATACTGGCGTGTAGATTGCTTCACAGCGTCGGAGACCGAGGTAAACTTAGACTAGCTAACCGATGTGTCCTAGACATATCATCTTAGTGCCGGTGGTAAGCGGGTTTGTTGTAGCAATACGACTTGCCCGTGGACATCGCACACCCCTACCATTTGTGGGCGGCGTCTTAGCGTATAGCATTATGATACGTCGGCTACCTTCCGGATCAGGGTGAGTGTGTTTGGTGGTACTTTTAAGTGCAGCAAGCAAACTCAACTCTTTTTTTTATAGCATAAGGGTGACAAACGAGCACACAGTCCACCTGATGGTAAGTGGTTGCTGCGGCCCATAGACATCTACATCTATCCTCTATTACAAATCAAAATGTAGATGCGTTGTCACCCGTGAGGACTAAGATGGAATGCCTCATTTCCAGTAAAAAGGGCCTCCGGTCACCTGCACTCACCAAGCGAAACGCAGAGGTAAACCTCTACTTCACGCTGGTTTTCTGTGAACTCCATGTCTTAGTGCAATAGCGTTATGATACGTGGAGTTTTGGCTACTGACGTCTTAGTAGCGTGCTACTATGATACGTTGGTGGTATTTTTAGTTAACAACAGTACCAATTTTGTTACCAAAATCGATAGGTATCATGTGGATGTGTTGAGAGGGGGAGCCATCCGTATGATAGTTGCATTGATGCTTACTGCTGTCTTAGTAGCGTGCTACTATAATACGTTGGTGGTATTTTTAGTTAACAACAGTACCAATTTTGTTACCAAAATCGATAGGTATCATGTGGATGTGTTGAGAGGGGGAGCCATCCGTATGATAGTTGCATTGATGCTTACTGCTATTTGTGGTAATGCGTCTTGTGATGGAACTGCGGGTGTGTCGCGCCTGATTCGACGCATCTTGTGGTTTTGGTCGATGGAGGTATGCGGGTGATGATGTCTGCTGGGATTATATGGGGGACCTCGGGACGGTGTAAGCCCGACGATAGTCGCATGGATGCGTGTTGCTTTCTACAGCATTGCGTCTCTGCAATGGTTGTTTGGCGGGTCGCTACTAGCATATATGTCGACCTCATGCGGGTGGTAGCTGGAGGGAGAATCTGAGGAGGCTCTCAAGGCTGCGGCCGAAAGCCGCGCAACGTGGGACCCCATTCCCTTGAGGTGAGCGGTAGACTCATGTGACGCTCTGCAGTTAATTAGCCGTGCTGATCATACAATTGGTGGTGATGCCTTACACTTACATCGTGCAGGAACGGCGGCCTGGTAGGTGGTGGCGCTCACGGAGGGCATTTTATGGCTAGTGTGCTTATTGTTGTCTAATCCGTGTGACGTACATTCACTGTGGCTGGATTTGATCGTATTCTGTATGACGTTTACACGCAACCCTTTTCTTAATAGACAGAACCGACCGAGCAGACATAACCATGTATGCGGATGACACAGTGATTTTATTCCATGATAGTACATGGGAAAAAACCAAACATTTGGCTGAAAAGGGGTTACGTGAACTGGCAAATTGGATCGAAGATAATCTTCTTTCACTTAACGCTTCTAAAACCACATACATCTGTTTTAGTAAAACTAGTGTCTCAAGTCCTTTGAGCGATCCTGGATTACAACTGCACTCAAATAAATGCAATAGACAACCACGTACCCCTTGCGATTGCCCAAAACTGTGAAATATTTAGGGATCACTGTCGATGAAAATTTGCATTGGGCTCCACATGTCAAAATCATATCAAACAGAATAAGGAAACTAATATATGTTTTTAAGTCACTGCGTCAGGTGGCAAATTCTAAATTATTGATACAAACTTTCAATGCGCTTTGTCAATCAGTTATTACCTATGGGATCTGTTCATGGGGTGGGGCAGGCAAAACGTACCTAATAGATGTTGAAAGAGCACAACGTATTGTGCTCAAAATGTTACTTTTTCTTCCGTATAGGCATCCCACAACACTGGTGTATGAAAAAGCACAGGTACTTAGTGTAAGAAAATTATTTATATACCAATGTATCAGACGATTCCATAGGTACCCTGCACCCAATAAACTCGACATTAAAAACTATAATAGAAGAAATAAAGTAGATAAATACTTAGTCCCTAGAATACATAGCGCTTTTGCCAAACGACAATTTTATTACCTTGCACCATTACTATACAATAAATTTAATAAAATTTGTGTTAGTAAGAGCTACAACAACCATCAAATCAAAAGTAAAATAATTAATTGGCTGTAAACTTGTGACTATGAAGCTACTGAATGTCTATTAACCTCTAATTTGTAAATGTAATTGTAATCATAATTAATTCAGGCAATCATAACAATCATACAAATTTAAAATAATGTATGCACACACACACACACACACACTCTGTCTCTCAACATACAAACACACACACACACACACACACACACACACACACACACACACACACACACAAATACACAGGGCGTGCGCGCGCACGCAAGTAGATTTAGAAACACGTGTCTATATGTTTTTTTGTGTTTTTATTCAACAAAAGTTTGCTAAATATAGGAAGGAACTATCTCCTGTTACTCAGGTTAACCTTTTACAGGAGATAGGGCCACATTGATATGTATGAATTGTTTTTTGTTGCAATAAAATTTTTTCAATTTTCAATTGACATGCGCGACTTCGGTCGATGTTTGTGCTTACGCACTACCAAGGGGCCAAGTCCTCTTTTACTGGTACGCCAGTAATTTTGCTGTGAACTACAGTCCAGTTCCCAACTTAATGCCCCCTTCGCGAGCGCGTTGGTTGATTGGAGCCGTATGCCTCCCCACATTTTTTTTAAAATGTAGGAGAGCGAAGCCCTTGTATCTGGTATTTGATATAAGTATTATGAGCCTTTTCCAAGCGGGAAGGGATTACTTAATAAGGAATTGACTGATGTGAACTTGATACAAGTGGAGTAGGGACGATTTAATGTTCTTAATCTTTTTTGAGCCCTATCTTCGTGTACGGGGTTCTTTAGCTTATAAAGTACTACCAACAACTTTCGGCTACTCTAATGAATATATATTGTTCCAAACGAAACTTAAAAGAACTAAGTTGCTATACAAACACAACGTAAATAAGGGTCCTGACTAATACGGTCACACCATAAATTTATTAACGGCCTATATTTAAACCTTTAGAAAGATCAATATACTGGCCACGTAAATTTGATATATTTTTAAATATTTATATTATAGATATACTTTTTTTAGATTTACACCGGCCGTGCCAATATTTCTCGAGAAAACGTTTTCGAGTACCCATACAAACTTGTGTCTGAAGCAGAACAAAGTCTTGGATCGGGTTCGACTAAATCTAGTCCAGTTTAATCCCCAGCAGACACATATTTGCGCGTTTACCGCTAAAAAGAACCCCTTTGTTGTATCTCCTCAGTTTTAAGGCATTACCCTTGTTGATCCTGCCAGTATCGGAATCCTCGCGACGACATATCGAATGATGTGCAGTTTCGTGGTCACTTGGAAGAGAAGGCCAAAGTAGCCTCTAAAAAGCTTGGCCTGCTCAGCAGAGCAGGACGGTATTTCAAGCCGGCGCAGGTTTGGCCTCACATGGAATACTGTTCCCATCCTGGGCTGGGTATCCCCAGTGCCAGCTCCGTCCGATTGACTGCATCCAGCGCGGAGCGGCTCGAATCGTCATCAACCGAGTCCTTTTCGATCGGCCCGATTCTCTGGCGCTGCGAATAGATGTTGCATCCCTTTTAATTTTTTTCGCATCTACCACGGGGGGTGCTCTAAGGAATTATTCGGATTAATTCCAGCAGCCAAAAGAAGGAAATAAGTATTCTTTTTGTCTTAGGTATTATGCCAGCCTCACCTACAGAACACTATTACTCTAAGGCCTCATCAGTGCGCGGTACCTTCTTGATCGGTGGAAGAAGCTCTTTCGACCGATTTCTTCTTAAAAGTCGACCGCTGTACATGGACACACGATTGTAGAAAGGGTCTGCCTTAATCGTCATACTCGACAAGCGGATTCTATACAACAATTACAACATACAACCACAGCACAAGAGGTTTCTCACTGCTACCCGACGCCGGTCTGGGTACCCAATTTACGCCGCGATATATCGCTACCGATTTATCAGTTATACCGCTATCTTATTGGCATATTCCACAGTCGCCTCTTTCTAACAACTGATGACAGAAAATTCATACAAAAAGCTGAACCCAAATTTCACAGACTCATGGGGAATAGTATTACCACTATGAGGGTATTCTTAGAATTAATGTTTGCGAGCTAGCGCATTCTTGGAAGATCCTATGTTCAGCAACGGAGTTAAAAAAAAAACTGCTAATGCTTCTAAAACTACTTGTTCACCCACTCGTTTGTATACCTACCTATTTACGTTTTATATATGTAAATTAAAATATGAAGTCTTTAAAGACTTTAAACTTACGTGGAGTATTCTTAAGAAATCCACAATTGAATAACATCTAAAAACTAACTTAAATTTGTAATTAAATAATATAATGAAAAAATGCATCATATTATAATAATTTTCTTTATACATATAACATAAAACATACCTATAACAAAAATTCTATTAGTTACAATGTGCTTTTGAAGCAATTTCATAAAACTTTAGTGGTGTAAAATTAAAGCTATGTTCAAAGATACTGTCAACATTTTTTGTAAATTTCTTTTTTAAATACAATTGGCATGCTGGAACATACTGTTTATGTTCCTTCAGTTCATTAATTTGTGACAAAACTACTTCATTACTATCTGATTCAAGAATTTCTCGCATTCTATGGCTTTCAAAAGATTTGAAGGGACATCCACCTTCAGAAGAGGCATAGTTTTCATTTTGGATTCGCTGACAGTCAACTGAGGTATAAATCTTCCGACCACCTTCTAAGCCATAGAGGTGTCTAATACCATAAATAAATTTCCTTTCATCTTTATCCCAAGTATGGCCACAGCTGTGACTTCCATTTGGCATTTTTTTATATTCCATTCTCCAAAAGTCAATAGCTTCTTCTACAGGCATGCCTATGTCTTTAAGGTATAAACTATAATAAAATCTTTGCATATGAGATAATCTATGTTTTTGACGTAAGTACTGATGAAGATTAAGCATACAAGGTGGAAAAAACTTTGATGCAAGATCAACATCTTTACTCATTAGAACCTTACTTTTACAGTCATTATTAAAGCAATTAAATTGATCTTTAAATTTATACAATAAGTCAATTATACGTACATCATTATTAAGGACTGTCAAGTCTATGTTTCTTAACCTATATTTTAATTGGTTATTAAAGAGTGTTATTAAATATGATTTCCATTTACTACAAGGTATATGTGCAATACCATTTCTAAGTTCAACTTGTCTTTTTGCTACTAGTTGTAAACAATGATTGAATTTTATTTTAATATTGTATGTGCAGCAATTATTATCATGGTACTGTCCAATATGATGGACAAGGTTCCGTAAAATTAAATGTTGGCATAAAACTTGCAGAGGTTCAATAAATGGTGCCGTTCTTTCCAGTTTTCTTAAAGCCTTTAACAGTCTTTTTGAAAAACATCGAAGGTCATATGCTGAAAGTGATTCAAGTCTACGTTTAAATAGCTCCACTTCGGCTTGTAATAAAAATTTTGAAAATCCATAATTATTTCCTAAAATTCCTAAGGTGCACAAGATAAAATGTCCAACATTGTCGTAAATGCCCCCTTCCACCAAATATTCATTGTAAATACTTTCTTTTCCTTTTATAATATCTTTCAAGTATTTTAATCTATTTGTAATGATTATCTCCAATAAATACACTGGCATATCCCCTTTTACAGGCGTCAAATAAAAGAAAGACATGTCACAGTGCAACAGCGTTTCATATTAAAGGCCTATTTGTGTTAAAATAGAAAAAAGTGTAACTTATTTACATACAATAAAAATTAAAAAATTCAAAAACTTGACTTTTTTTTGGAGTTTTTGGCCTGGTATCTAGACCTTTAGAAATTTTTGACAGTTGACTTCTTTTAACCAGGGTTGCCAACTTTATTTTATAGGAGATCGTACCATAAAATGGAAAAAATCGTATTTTGCTTAGAACTCGAAAAAGAAATACGCATTAAAATTTCAATAAAACAATGGTAAAAAGTACAATACTTATATTATTATAACGTCAAAGCAAAATTTAACATTTAAGGCTTATAACATTTAAGAATATGAAACTAAATTTTACAACGACTTTTATTATTAAAGAAAAGGGGCTCGGACTGTGTCCACTCTGGACTCTATTACGAAAATAGGGATTTTACTTTTACTTTTTCACTAAACATAAACTCAAACTCAACATAGAAAAATATATTTATTGCCATTAAGCCCTGTTAGATCATTTTACATTAAAAATAATTAACAATGTTAAACTATTAATCATATAAATCAATACAAACATAGCTCATAGAGTATATATAATATTATGATCTACCAGGTACTTGAGTATACGATTGACTATATTAATAGATCATATTGAAATTAAAATTAACCGGATAAAAACACCGGCACAACTTCAAAACAATACCAATTGACATATTTTGATAAACATTTTCCTTGGTCTTCATATTAAGGGGAATGCTAAGAAGTCATTGCCAACAAGTCATTGCACAGTGCCATCTGCGAATTTTTGTAGAATATGGACCTATAAATACCATAATAACAAATATTATTTGAATATTAGTCACTATCAGAGTCATCAGTACAATGAAGAAGTTTAGAGCTCACTCAATTTTGATGTTATTGATTTTTTAATATCGATAATATGAACGTAATTAATTTTTATAATTGATTAAGTTTATTTTTAGTTGAGTTTGAAATCTTATAATTTTTATTTTGTTATAAAGATTATAAGATTTGAAAAGATCGTATATTTTGCGTACGATTTCGAATACATGATCGTACATCGTACTAGGACCAAAAGATCGTATAAATAAGGTATGTGAGGATAATATGGTCACCTTAAGCTTTGCCGCCTTCTAAAACCAAAACTAGGAGATCCTTCTCCTAGTTTTGGTTTTCAGAGACAAATACACAATGTCGTATACTTTAACAAATATAGAAAAAATAACAAACAAGCCTTGGCAATAATTAGCAACACTTCGAAAAATCAACTTAATAAAAACTAACTATAGTACGTGAGGGTGATATGGTCGTCCGGTCATATGGTCACTTTCTTATAACTCAAAAACTACAGCGTCGTTTGCATATAACGCTTTGTGATACGATAGCTCTTGATCAGTCTATCAAATAATAAAGTGTCAAAAAGGCGCTCCTTTATCGACGCCATTTTGACAGTTGATATTATTGTAAATATTTTAGTCGATTTTTGTATTGTGTAGTTAGTTTTTTTAAGTAGATTTTTCGAAGTGTTCCAAATTATTTTCAAAGCTTGTTTGCTATTTTTTTCTTAATATATTAGTTATAGTATACGACTTCGTGTTTTTGTCTCTGTTCTCCTCCTAATTTTGGTTTTATAGGGCGATAAAGCTTAAGGTGACCATATTACCCTCACGTACTTACTATAATATCAACTGTCAAAATAGCGTCGATAAAGCGGCGGCCTCTTGACCCTTTATTATTTGAATGACTGATGAAGAGCTATCGTATCACAAAGCCATCTATGCAACTTAGGGTGTAGTTGTTGAGTTATAAGAAAGTGACCATATTAACCGGATGACCATATTACCCTCACGTACTCCATGATTTAAATCGTACGGTTGGCAACGATGCTTTTAATTATTATTTATTTTATTTGTGTTTTGTGCTTCAACCTAGGAGTTTTGGCGGGAACTTGACCTTGACCGACGGCGGTTTGCTGCTCCTGTATTATTGTTTAAATTATGGTTTGAAGTGGACTTTGATATGTAAAAGTGGTGCGATTTTGTGTATTAAGTGTCTGCGCATGTGAACTATTAGTATAAACTGTGAAACAAGTGCTCTGACAGTGATGTGATTCTCAAAATAAGGTGTCTGTTTGCTTAGGCGCTTTGAGATAACGTCGCCAATCGTCAGCTGTCTGCTGGCTCAAGTTGCCGTCAAAATCTCCCAAGGGCTGCACAATGTGACGCATCAACATATTGTGAAGCAGTACACTATGAAGGATAATTATTATAATATATTGTAACTTCAGGCTCAGAAGGGCTAGATCCCAGAGCCGTAAACCCATTAAGAAGAAGAAGCTTCAACCTCAATTTTTATAACTGGCTATGGCTCTAGGTTCTAGCCCTTCTGAGCCTAAAGTCACAATGTATAATTATCTTTCATATTGTTTTTTTTTTATAGGATAAGGGTGACAAACGAGCACACAGTCCACCTGATGGTAAGTGGTTGCTGTGGCCCATAGACATCTACATCTATCTTCGGTTAAGAATCAAAATACAGATGCGTTGTCACCCATGAGGAATAAGATGGAATGCCTCGTTTCCAGTAAAAAGGGTCGCCGGTTCTCTACACTCACCATACGAAACATAGCAGCATTAAGCTACTATTTTACGCTGGTATTCTGTGAGAGCGTGGTCCTTCCCCGGTCGAGCCGACCCATTCGTGCTACAATCATAATATAGCTGCAGCATGGCTCTACCACGTAGAAAATATTGTAATGATTATCTTCAATAAATACAATGGCAAATCCCCTTTTACAGGCGTCAAATAAAAGAAAGACATAGCAACAGCGTTTCATATTAAAGGCCTATTTGTGTTCAAATAGAAAAAAATGGTAATAACTTATTTACAATAAAAATTAAAAATTTTGCCTTCCTTTAACTACTATTTATTTTATTCAGTGATTTGTGATTCAACCTCAATTTGTTTTTATAACTTGTTTTACGGCTCTGGGCTCTTGCCCTTCTGAGCCTGAAGTCACAATGTATTATTTGTTAAATTATTCTCCATAGTACACTGCTCCACAATGTATTGATGCACCACATTGTGCAGCCCTTGATAGATTTTGACGGCAACTTGAGCCAGCAGACAGCTGACGGTATCTCAACGCGCCTCAGCAGACAGGCACCTTATCTTGAGAATCACATCACCATCAGAGCACTTGTATCACCGTTTCCACTGTTCTGTTTACTGTGTTGCACGTTCACATGTGCAGACACTTAATACACAAAATATATCACTTTTACATATCAAAATCCACTTCAAACCATTATTTAAACAATAATACAGCAGTAGCAAGCCGCTGCTGGTCACGTTCCCGGCAAAACCGCTTCAACCACAATGTGTCATTGTCATCACAGAATAATATGATGCTTACTCATCATTGTATTGTACAACGCGTAAACATCATGTTAGTCTGTGATTGTGCAGTTGTACCATACACTTGAGTTGTATCATAGAATCCTCTATCTACGAACCCCCCCCCCCCAGCCTATGAATTGGGAGTATATATATAAAAAAATGGAGTATATATATATTTTTATATGTATACTCCTAATTCATAGGCTGGGATGGGGGGGGGAGGGTATTATGTACGAGTTGTATATTACCTACCTATGGTGCAGTTGCTATCATAGATTAAGAATATACTGGTGCATAGACCTACATAGTGTACAAGTTTATTCTGTGGTGCAAGAGAGAATAAAATTCCTTTTGTCAAAAAAGCAGTAGGTATAGAAAGGGATACCAAACCTCATGACTCTGTAACCGATTTTGAATCATACCCCCCCCGACTTTGGAGTATATATAAAAAATACTGGCAGACGAATTTTAAATAGCACATCTCAAAAATATTAATTATTTAAACTGAATCCATGTAGTTTGGAAATATAAAATAGTTAAATTCGTTCACATTTTAACGTCGATATTACTTGAAATAATTAGAATTGGGTACTTTTACAGTATAATAAAACTGCACCTTGCTTGAATATAATTGCACCATCGTTAAAAATGCATTAAATGCAATGATGAGTTCAAACATTTACTAAAACCAAATTTGTTAAATGTCGATTGGGTGATTTTATTTTTCAACAAATTTGGTTTTATCAACTTTTGCGTTACATGGGTGCAGTTAAAATAATTTATATTTTGAGATGTACTATTTAAAATACGTCTGCCAATATTTTTTTGTGATAAATATACTCCAAATTCATAGGCTGGGGTTGATATTTTGAATGACGGGTCAGCACAAGTCGGCACGCAACAAATAAGCTACTAGATATTTTGCAATTTTTTAGAGTGTAATAGTAATTATTTTTAGTACGAGGGGCAAACTGAAATGATCGGGAATAAGAAAAACCACATGCACTGTATAGCTAAATTGTATTTTATTGTTTTTCGAAGTATTCTCCGTTCAACTTAATGCACTTTTCCATTCGTGCAAACCTATCATTAAAACAATAATTCCAGTCTGCAGTTGATATTAACAAAATAGCTGATTTGTACGCTTCCACAGCTGCTTCGGGGTCTTCAAACCGTTGACCGCGTAGTAAATCTTTCATTCTAGGGAATGTAAAGAAATCATTTGGGCTCAGGTCAGGACTGTACGGAGGATGGCTCATCAGCTCAACGTTTTCCTGCTTCAAAAAATCATTTGTCTTCCGAGTCGTATGGGAGCTCGCATTATCGTGATGTAAGATGATGCGACGTTTCGGGTTAGTTTTTCGAAGTTCGGCTATCATTTTTGGCAAACAAACCGTGATATACCACTCAGCGGTAACCGTTCTGCGTTCCTGTAAAGGAATTGTAGCAACATGCCCCTTTTTCGAGACGAACGTAGCGACCATTTTCTTTGACACGTTGCGGGAGCGAACCACTTTCGTTGGTTTGATCTCGTCTTCGAAGACCCAAACTGCTGACTGATGTTTTCTTTC